TACCATCTTTATCTGTATAGTTGCACAAAGAAAGTTTGTTCTTTTATTCGAATATTTCCTCATGACAGCTTTTAGAAATCAACTTTATATGTACATGTAACCTCTAAATACATATAAATATGTACTGAACATATTATAGCAAGGGTTGAAGTTCTCACATCTACCACCTCTAGTCAGCTATTCACCCCAGAAGCAGCTACTGTTACCATTGCTATATGTCCTTCCAGAAGGGCATAACTGTGTTCACATAGAATAATAATATGGTGTTGTTTTGAGTATGCGTGCATGTGGGGATGTCATGGTATATAAACATACATAGTTGGCATAGTGGTACACACCTGTAATCTGAGAGCTTCAGGAGGCTGAGGCAGGAGGATTGCAAGTTCAAAGCTAGCCTCAACTACTTAGTGGAGCTCTAAGCAATTTAGCAAGACCCTGTTTCCAAACAAACAAACAAATAAATAAATAAATAGGGCTGGGGTGTGGCTCAGTGGTTAAGAACCCCTGGGTTCAATTCCTGGTACCAAAAATATTTAAATAAAATAAATATACATGCCACCATTTATATACTTCATTTTTCTTTTTCTTTTTTTGCATTTCCTTTTTTCATATGCTGCAGTTTTAAATTGTGTTCTGTGGAATTATGGGGGCTCAAAACATGTGTCTCTAGAAACTTTTCACCACTTCCTTTAGAACAGCTCTGCTTTAGATCTTTCACATATGGGGCCTTTGAGTAAAATTTTGTTTAAAGAACAAACCTGCTTACCAAAAAGTTTTCAAGCTATTCTATTGTGTTCCGCCTCTGTTGCCTAATAAAACAGAAAGATGAACAGAAAAACGAAAGTTCAGGTACTGATGTTGTGATATATCCCTCTCATCCCCTTAAATTACGCTGAGGAAGATGGAAATCACTAGGTGTGGTCACTGAGGTGAACCTTTAGCTTCAACCGGATGCTTACAGACTTCAATCAACTGTGTTTTTTTATTCTAAGGGGGTAAAAACGAAAGCACACATACGAAACAAAGATCGTACTTCAGAGGTGTAAACCCACGGTGTGTCTTACTCTAGGTATGTTCTGGATGATCAGTACACAAGTTCTTCTGGTGCTAAATTCCCCGTGAAATGGTGTCCACCCGAAGTGTTCAATTACAGCCGCTTCAGCAGCAAATCAGATGTGTGGTCATTTGGTAAGAGCCATGCTTCACATTGCTTCTGCTCTGGGGAGGAAGTGGACACATCATGGACTAACGCTTATCCTTCCCCAGGTGTTTTGATGTGGGAGATATTCACTGAAGGCAGAATGCCCTTTGAAAAGAACACCAACTATGAAGTGGTAACCATGGTTACTCGAGGCCACCGACTCTACCGCCCGAAGTTGGCATCCCTATATGTATATGAGGTGATGCTGAGATGTTGGCAGGAGGTATAGATATTTCTTTTGTGTTCTCTTAGGGAATCTCTAAAACATTTAGGGGTTGGACTTAGTAGCTGGATAATGTGAAGGCCCAGGTAGGCAGTGCATGTTTTATAGTGATTTCAAACTCTAGCTAGGTAGGACGCCAACCCTCTCAACTTGGTTCTGAATAATCAGAGGAAGAATGTGAAGTGGAAATACGAATAACGAACTGCATACGTTCAGACTACTGCCTCGCTCCCACGGGGGAATCTTGCCACAGTTGCCTGAGCCACAGACAAAAAAAAATATGCCTGGAGAAGTTGCTCGCTTCCTTTCTGTGGCTTACTTTTGGGTTTCAAATATTACTCTTCTACCAAAAGAGGTTTCTTCCTTTAAACCTCAGCTTCCCCAGGTCTCTTTGCTTAGTCTCTGGAAGGACCGAAATATCATCTCACAGAAAGATTATGTGCCAAGTGGCTTTTGAAAGACAATGATAGTAGCTCACCTGCCTTGTGTACTAGGCACTGTGCTGAGTGCTTTAGATTTAGTTCTCAAAGTACTCTTTGAGGTGGAGATATTTCTCCTGTGACCACTTTATAGATGAGAAGATTAAGACTCCGGAGGTTGATGCTTGCTCAAGGCCAACTAGCTATAGAGCAGCAGAGGCTCACCTGACTCCAAAGCCCAGGTTTTCAATCACTGGCTGTAACCTCCCAAGAACCCTGATTGCGTCGGGTAGAGAGACCTGCTAGGCAGGAAGTGGTACTAGGGGGAAAGAGAACAGCACGAACAAAGGTAAGGAGGTGGTTATAAACATGCTATGAACATGAGGGTAGAAATTAGTCTGATTTAGCAGAGAACCCATGTGAGGCTGTTCATGGGAAATGAAATTGGGTGATAAGGGGCCTGGGGAGGGACAGGTTATAGAGGGCTCTGCAAATTAACAGGACTTAATTTTGTAGGCTCTGCAGAGCTCTAGTAGGTCTTTGAATAGGGACCTGAAAACAGCTTTGGAAAGGTTAGTCTAGCAGCAATGCAGGTGGTCAACAGGGGTGGACATGCAAGGTCACCTAGGGTGGACATGCATGGTCAACTAGGGCAGAGACAGACTATTGGGAGATGTCTGCACTCTCCAGGCCCAAAGCCACAAATGCCTCTTTGGAGTGATCTCCAGGCCCAAAGCCACAAATGCTTCTTTGTAGTGAGTTAGATTTGGGAGTCTGAGCAATGAAACTTTTCTTGGGAATGGATTCTGGAACCCACAGCTTCTCTTTGACTTTTAATTGTAGAAACCAGAGGTGAGGCCTTCATTTGAAGATTTGCTGCACACAATAGATGAATTGGTTGAATGTGAAGAAACTTTTGGAAGATAAGTGGTGTTGTGACCAGTGGCTCCAAGATTCCAAAGCATGCAAAGGAAATGGCACTTTGTGGATAACTTATTTGGAACCTGGTTGTGTAGACGTTTTGCGTATACACAGCTAAGGCATTTGCTTCTATACCAACCTTGGCTCTGTGACTGAGTTTACCCAATTGTGGAGATGCTGCCGTAGAGCTGGTGATTCCAGGCACTCACTTCTTATTTCTCCCGAACTTGAGTTCCAGACACTATGCTCAGGCCCTGGGGTTTGCCTATTTTAGGGGTGTTCATGGGACCATGTTGACTAGTGCCAGTAGAAAGCCAGGGTTTGGGGGAAGGGGAACAGTACTAGACCCATGTTCCAGCAACCCTTCACTTCTCTGTGATTTCCGCAGAAACAGAGGCCTGGGGCATTGTGTAGAGAGCTAAGTTCTAGATGAATCAGGAGCCCACCTTGGATAAGTATCCATCTTTTTTTTGAAAACAACTGTTTTCAAGAGTGTTCCTAGTATTACATTTAAAATACTTGTATGCTGTATATATTGTAAATACATATAATATATAAAGTTATATATTTATAAGAAACACGAGTTGTCTTTTAATTGAAACTTTTAATTCTGTAATATAAGTTCCTTGTTTTAGGGACTATACATGACAGCTGTCAATTCCTTTCCTGGGGATCAAATATTCCTTACTGAAGAGAAGAAAGTGTGGGTCCTTTTGTTGCTAATGCTTTTCCTCAAGTAAATAAGCTGGGGATGCCTGTCTAGCATAGGCCCCAGTAGGACCTGTCTTGGGACTATAGGATCCTGCCTATGGTAGCCACAGCTAATCTGTTGAATATTTGATCCAGAGAATCAGTCAGTTCCTAAATCGTAAGAATCTGCCTCAGGGCAGTGTTGCTCTAATTGGAGATGCTGGGCTCTTGGAGCAGACAGATTAGGTAATGTTGGTAACAAAGGCTGTCCCCATCTCAAGCACAACCCAGGAACAACTCAGGTTGTGGCAAAAAGTCCAGGGAGCTACTGAGGCAAATGGAGAGATGGCTTTTTGAGAACCTCAGGAGGCCCGGCTGGTCTTGGGTTCTTGGATCAGTGAGACTGTCTGTACAGCCTCACAATGGACCTTCTCTCCAGCTTGTTCTGGTGGGTTTCTCACCCTTACAACATCTAAGACACCAACTGAGTTAGAGCCCTCCTTTTTCTTCATGAGTCCAGGCAAAAGAAATCATCTGGGTCACCAACAGCAGAGAGCATTTATTGCCCAACATATTGTTGATATCTATTGGGCACAAGGCTGAGGAAGACTTGGACCTTCCTCTAGGGGCTCCTTCCTCTCTGAGGGCTGCCATGATCTGCCCTGCAATGTGACATGTTTGGTGATAGGCCAGAGATAGTTGCTCTGAGCTGCATCTTCACCCAATACTTATTGCTAGATTTTGTAAAAACAAAACAAAACAAAAACCATGCTGTTCTAGTTGTCTACCCAAATATAATTTATAGTCTTAATCCATTCTGATAAAAACAAGGCTGCCATAAGGAGAACCATGTCTTTGGCTTGGGTTTTATGTACCAGCAGCCCATCCGCCAAAGGCTGGGTTCGTTCCTTCACTAAATCCTTTATAATAGAAAAAAGTCAAAATATCCCAGTTCTTGTCAGAATCTGCCACATTCCTCCTCATTTTCCCCTCCCTTTCACAATAACATGCACACTTTTTCTTTTTGAGATACTGGGGATTGAACCCAGGGGGACTCTAATCACTGAGCCACATCACCAAAACTTTTTATTTTTTTTATTTTGAGACAGAGTTTTGCTGAGTTTCCCAGGCTGGCCTTGAACTTGTGAGGCCCCTGCCTCAGCTTTCCAAATTGCTGGGATTATAGGTGTACACCGCTACACCTGGAAACATGCACACTTTTTACTGACTTGTAGCTCATTCAAGGAGTTGGTCATGTGCAAGCTAGACCTCAGAGTGACTGTCACACTTTCCTCCTTTACATCTTTCGTCTTCCGCCCCCAGTTTTTCCTTTTCATCTTGTGGAGCTGTGGGAAGAACAGATGGTGGGGAAGAGGATCAGGAGAAGGTCTAGTTCCTGTCCTAACCATCATGAATGCTTTTAATGGAAAAACAAGATAGATGATAACTGGCAACACTTGTAACATTTTCTTCACTAAAACTTTAAAAAAGCTTTATATGAAAGCATTGCTAAGGCCAAAAACAAAATAAAAAGTAGAAGTATTCTCCCAGAATGCCAAAAGATCTGACTCTATGAGGCAGGAAATAGCCTGAGAATACACTGAGTCTTCATTAAAGTTGATCCCTTAATTAGTTAATTTTTGGTTATATTTTCCAGTGAAATGAAACAAAGCTCCCCAATGTAATTTGCATTATTGATGTTGTTTTCATGGTTTTTTGGCCAGACCTCAGTCATGTTTTAAGTGTATCATTGGATTTTCTCCTTCTCCCCAAAGTCCCAGAAGTGTCAATCCTAAGTCAGAGGACAAAACCTTCTAGGCTTCATATTCCAAAACCTGGAATCCTGTTGTGTTTCTACCACTTCCTGGGGCCTCGGGCAAGTTCCTTCCTTGTCTGTTCTTTATTTCATTCTCTGTCTACAGAGGGCAATTAGACTTAATGATTTTTAAGGTGCCTTATACTAACATTTTGTGATTTCTTGAAAATGTTGTTTGCTAGACTCACCCACACATATGGGAATGAGGAAGTAATAGCAACCACCCTCATAGATCTGGATGCAGATCTGTGAACTTTCTTATGTAGGCCATTAGGTTGTCATTCACAGACTTTGAGGTTTTTAGAACAGGAAAATAGGTGGGGTTAACTTTGCTGCTGAGAATCGTCTTGGGTAAACTATGATTTCAGTTTAAAGATGTGTTTTTGTGCGTGGAGCGTGGCTGAAGAACTGAGGACGGCTTTATGTGCCCCTGCAGAAGGACAGCCATGATTCTGTCCACCTGTAAGTAAGATGGGCTTTGTTCTCAGGGCTTGTTCTGGACATGTTATTCTTCTTGAACATCAGAGGAAGTTTTGTCTAAGTTGTAGAACTTGTGAAAGTTTGCAGATAATTTCCCCAGACATATTGACAGTATTTCGTTTCTTGTTTTAATAACCACAGTGGTGATATAATTCTAGTAAATGTTTGGCATTGAGAACACAAAACAGTGAAAACCAGTGTTCTTACATCTCTAATGTGATTTAAAATGTAATCAGTGTGAAGTGTTAGATTCTAGAAGGATATTTAATGCAAAGAACCCTGTGCTGAAGGCCAGAAGACACATTCTAGTTGTGGTTCTGTGGCAGTCTTGGTGGGTTATCCTTGGCAACTTCTTTATGTCAAGCCCCTGTCTTTAAAAGGACAACTCCCTTTATGGTTACCCACCAGTGAGATATCACAAAGAAACAACAGCTAAAAATGATGGGTGCTTCATGAACTTAATTCTGGAGTCACTTTGGAAGACTAGTTCTGGATGCCTATTCTGGAATGAAGTTTCAACAAAGCTCAATGTCAGATTAGGACAGATCACAAAGTCAAGGTCTTGCATTTCTGATTTTTAGGTGGTGTTTAGAAAAATTGATTTTAATTTTAAAATATCACCTGTTTCAGCTAAATTGGGACCCAATACTTATTGTTAGAATTTGTAAAAAAAAAATAAAATAAAATAAACCATGCTATTCTAGTTGTCTACCCCAATATAATTTATAGTCTTAATCCATTCTGATAAAAACAAGGCTGCCATAGGGAAAAATGAAATTATGTCATTTGCTGGTAAATGGATGGAACGGAAGGGCATCATGCTAAATGAAACAAGCCAGACTCAGAAAGTCAAGGATTAAATGTTTTCTCTACATGGAAACTAGAATAAAATAAGGGAAAGGTGGGGGACAAGGGTCCCAAGGAAATAGAAGGGAGATTAGTGGAGCAGAGACAGGGATAAATGAGGAGGGAGAAGGGACAGGAAAAGGCAGGCACACCTTTATGTATATTTATAAAGCACCAATTTTTTAAAAAAGAGCTCCTAAATAAACAGAAGGAAGACCACAGAGTAGAGGAAGGGGAAAGGGGTGGGAGGAGGGGACTGAAATGGGGCAAATTATATTCCATACATGTATGATTATGTTAAAATGAACCCACTGTTACATGTACCTATAATGCACTAATAAAAACATCACCAAAAAAAACAAAAAAACAAAAAAAAAACCCAAGGCTGCCTGTAATCAGAAATAAAGGCCAAGAAGATTAAAGCAGAAAAAGTCAAAAGCAGCAACATATGATCCTCCCCCCACCCCATGGCAGGACAGAGCTGAGCAGTGACATAAGAATTTTTAAATATTAAAAGTTCTGTGAGCAAGGAGTTCTTCATTTACCTTAGGCCAGAACTAGAGAGAAGAAGGCCCTGTGAATGATAATAGGGAGGGTTTGGGTATAAATGATGTGTGAGAGAAGCAATTTGTGAGGGTTGAGTCAGGGTTTAGACTGCCTGAGGGGTTAAGCAAGAACACCTCTCAGGGGTATTTTGAGGATCATTCTCTTTGCCATGGAAGGGGATGGTTTGGGTGTGATCTCAGTGCCTCTCAACTTCTGATGATCTGGTTTGATGGTGAGAATCACCTATTTCCTTCAGCCATAAACTGCAGCTAACACATGGTTCCATTTTCTTCTGGGTAAAAGAATGAGTTGTCTACTTTGGACAAGGAGAAAGCCCAGTAATTCCTCATAGTAGACTAAAATTAATTTTAAAAAATGTCCATATGTGCTTTTCAGAATCGTCTGCCAAATGCAATTGCTGTTTTCAGGGCAGTCATGGCAGTCTGGCTTCATAAGCTGCTGCAGGGTAGAAGGAGGTAATTCTGGAAGCTGGGATGTTGATCCTGCTGAGTGATGGCAGATTCTGAGTTGGGTATGGGGGCAACTGCTCCAGAGAATTTCCATAAGTAAAACATAATTTGAATTGCCATCATTCACAGCAGCTAACAGTTGTGCTGAAAGCAGCCCCAGCCTAGGACAGGAGAATTCTTTAGAGAACAGGGCACAGGTGCAATGGTTGAAGGTTAGAAAATTTTACCTCTGACCTCCCCTGCAGCCCATTCCCACCTGCCCCCCACCTCCAATTTCTCTGCACTTCTTTTCTCTCCAATGTATAAAGTTGAAAGGCAAAATAATTTTATAAGTGGTTCTTAAGTCTAGTGTGCTGACTTTGCCTTCAAAGGATGCCTGGGATAGTGTTATTGATTTAATTCCAGGATTCTGAGGGACTTGTTCAGATAATTTAAAAATAAGGAAGAAAAATACTGCCTCTGATTTTAATTCTGAAAGCTTATGGAATCAAGCTTTGACAAAGCTCAGTGATATCAGATGAAGCCAGTTGACAACCATGGTTTTTGGACTTATCTCCATAGTTTGATCTGAGGTTGAGGTAAGGAGCAAAATTGTCCATTATTATTATCATCACTAATGTGAAGTTGAGGGACCAGAAGGAGGCAGCCTCTAAGATGCCCCCTCTGTGAGGCCTGCCTCCAGGTAGTCATGCCCTAATGCAATCCCTAATCTTGAGTATGAATCAGACCTAGTTCCTCACTTCTCATGAATATAACCTGGTAAAAATGATGGGATGTCACCTTGGAGACTAGGTTATAAGGAGGTCCAGGGTCTGGTCTTGGTGCTCTCTGGCTTCTTGACTCTTAGATCAGCTGCCATGTGCGTACCCTCAGGCCACCCACGAGTAAGCCTGTCTTGAGAAACCAAGGTCCTCCAATGGCCATGGAAGTGGGCTTGGAAGTGGATCTTCCAGCTCCAGTGGAGCCCAGCCTGACCACAGCTTCACTAGATACCTTAAGCCAAAGGAGCCCAGCTAAGTTGTTCCTGAAATCTTGACCCATGGAGACCATGAGATCATAGTTTCCTGAGGTTTGAGAGTGATTCATTCTTAACAACAGGTAACTAACGAAGTGGCAAAAAGCAGGCAGAGCCACATGTCAGAGCCACATGTCAGAAACAAACCTGTCTGCTTTCACAACCATTTGCCTCTGGTCTTACTCAAAAAGAGTTTCAATGTTGGCTGGATGCAGTGGTATATACCTGTAATCCCAGTGACTTGGGAGGCTTATTGAGGATTGTGAGTTTGAGGCCAGCCTCAGCAACTCAGTTAGACCCTAAACAACTTGAGTGAGACTCTGTCTCAAAATAAAAAATAAAAAGGGCTGGGGATGTGGCTCAGTGGTTAAGCACCTCTCGGTTCAAACTCTGACACCAAAAACAAAAAGTGTTCAGTTTAATTGAGACTTTTTTTTTGTCGTTGTTCTGATGACTTGAATTATTTCATGTCCCCCTCTGAAAAAAGTATATAAAAATGATACTTGCAGCTTATAACCATCTCTGGGTGGCTCCTCTGCTTTCTTCTGTGCAGACCTGCAGATCCTATGGCTCCTCTGTGGAGCCAACTGGCCCTGTGTTTTCTGCCTTCAATGAATCCTAAGTCAGTGAGCACAGCTTGTGGTCCAGTGCCAGCTGTGCCCACAGGCCTTGTGGCCTGGCTGGGTGTTTCCTCACCTTGCAAGCGGTCTAGGGTGTCTTGGGTGTGATATGTGAAAATTCATCATCAACTTTGAGCCCACAGACAACCGAGTTCTGGGAAACACGATTCCAAGGTATGGGGGAGGAGAGAGGTTGAATGTAAGGTCCAGCTCACAGATGGTCATTTCCTAGAAGAAATCAAAATCCCTGCATAGAGCAAGCAAGGGCTTCCAGGAACTGGGAATCTGTGTGGTGTTTTGGCTGCGGCTGAGAAATATGAGCCTTCGTCAGGGAGACTCACTGCCTTTTGTTACCGGACCCTTCACTCAGGGGAACACTAGTCACCCTTGTGCTGGATGCCCCATCCTGCTTCTTCAGGCTTCTAGAGTCTTCTTTGTGCCCCTCCCCCCACACTGTACCCCTTCAGGCCCAAGAGAGGTTAAGCACCATTCCTGCCTTCCACCCCATTTATCTCTTTGCTGTCCCACTAGCTAGGTACATTTTTCCTTCCAGATGAATCCCCTAATGTAACAATTTCCCCCTTTTCAAGGTTTCACAGATACCCTAAATGCCAACAAAACAATTTGGGTTCTAATACAGAGTTGCTCGCTTATTTGGTCCATACATTTAGAAAAGGTAAGGTCTCTGGTGAACTTCATGTCTTAGAAGAGAGGACATTTGAGTATCCAAAGGATGAGCAAGTGTGTACACACATGCACACTCAGGATAATTTAACAACTTAAATGTACAAAGGGCATAAACAGAATAGGGATAGCTTTCTAAATTGAATAAAGACTGCTATGACCAACTCAATGTACCACCTTTCCTTCCTTTTCCTTCCCACGGCCCCGTGGTTTTCATTTGGTGTCTGGAAAGCCAACTTAACTCCTGATCAGAGGCACAAATCCATGCTATAGGAAAGCTAGCTGTGTTGCACTGCCCACTTAATCTAGTTTAACTCAATTAAAAATCATGTGTCTTCAAAAGGCCCTAAAAATAGAACTAGTGGTGGGATTAAGGAAGTTTGGTTTTTCTGTAAACTTCTGGAAAAAGACAAGACATAGTTTATTGGCGTGGCCAATTTATAGGACCAGCTCCACTCATCTAGAGCCATTTTCTTAAAGCCACACTTTTATAAGGTGTTCCCCAACCCTTGAGCTGCAGTTGGCACCAGAGATTCTTTGTCTTAAGACCACAGCCTGCAGCGTCTGGGTTGGCCAACAAGCCTGGCCATTGGCTCAAGGCAGCTCCTGAATAAGCCAGTTTCAAGTCATGTTTTTAAATAAAAAGCACTAACCATGTGCTAGTTATGATGATGACCAAATTCAATAGGATTGAATTTCCTTCGAGACAACTGATTCAAAAAGAAACTCTGATATCGGATGGGCAGAGTGGAGGTGGGATTGGGGGGTGATGGGGGATGAACTCAAGGTTTACTTGATGTA